GGCGGGGAGCGCGTGAGTAAGTGTGAGTGAAGCCCAACCCCAGGTCATTTGGATATATATATATATATATCGAGTTACAAGGTGTGTGAAGTGATGGAACGTGGGGAATGCTCTGGATATCCTGTACACCGTACGTCGGCTTTTGCCATTTCCTGCTATGAATGCTGTAGCAACCAGGACTTCGAAAGGTCTTGAGCCAAGGGAAATGGCGCCCAGGAATGGTTGCCGGCAGGTCAATCAGTCTGAACACATGTCGAGCACTGGTATACTTTGCAGCGCCCTTCTTTTGCAACTTCAGTACTCGGAACGAAACTATTTCCCCAGCGCTGCTCGAAAGGAATGCCGGCTCATCTCAAGGTCGTGAATGCTCTGGAGTGTAGACAAAGGTCGGGCGAGTCTCTTCGATCACTCGAGAATAGTGCTGGACGAGGGCAATAAATCTTTTGCGGTTGCAAGGTTCTGCTTTCACCGGCTCTGTGAAGCGCTTGTTCGAGGCTTGAGGGCCCTGCGATCCCTCAGATTGAATGTCGGCCGCGAAACAGGAGTGACTGGACGTGTGCACCTCCGGTTGCTTTAGTGCCAAGCGTGCGTTGGGCGTGAGTGGCGCCGGATCTGTTATAATGTGTCTCAGTGGTGCAGGCTCTTCTGCCGGATCCTCATCAGTACGTGTTGGTTTGATGAGTGGTGCTGCCGAAGACGAAGGATGCACATTTGCGCGCACAATGGCACGCCACTGTCGTGGATCCCAATCGCATTCAAATACGATTTGTGCTGGTTGCCAGAGGAAAACACATGTGTCGCTCGGTGGTGATGTAAGTGGCGTGTTGGAACTAGTAGCGCCGCAATATGCCGTGTGTTTTGCGAAAGGCATGGAAGGTACACATTGAGATCTCAATCTTTCTTCCGTTCCACATGTTGCGCGGCCTGATACCGTTCGGACCTTGCCGGAACAAATGGATCTCGGTGCCTGGCGCATGATAGATAGATGGACAATAGACGCGATACATAGGTAGATAGACGGACAGGATGATTGAGAGATGAACAGACAAAAACTTGATTGCTTGATTGCTTGATTGGTTGGTCCGATATATGAGGTCAAACAATTTGGCGGGATAAGGTAGGGTAGGTAGAGGGAACTACTACGTGAGATAGATTAAATTGATCAGATGGGTCGACAGGTAGGGACGTCGATAAACCAGATGAGTAATGATATAGACAGACTGATACGAACAGATAGACAGAACGATTGACAGATAAGTAGATCGAACGACGGATAGATAGAGAGATTCATAGATGGACAGATAAAACATACTCGTAGAAAGAACAGGAGGAGAATGAAAAAGAAGAGAAGGAACAAGATAACTACATAACAAGGTGCAACTAAATTCAAAATGCCATGCGCTGAATTTATTAAAGGCAGAAACCATTGAATGGGACGTTAACTGCAAATCCCTTTGCAGATGTGATGCTCAAGTAGACTTTTTGATTTTACTAGGTATGAAAAGGAATGAATACGCAAACTCAACTCAAACTTCGATCTTCATGTGGTCTCGGGGGTGGGTGCTCCAACCAACTTTCAAAGCCTGAGCACCATGGAATACCTGGACATTTCCGTGATTTACGTACCCAATGCTATGTTGCATAAGTTCTGAAAACAAACACAATATCTTTCATGGATGCTGCTTTCTGAGACGAGTTAGCACAACTTGTACAAGTTTGTCTCCATTTGCTTGTGCAATCTAGTTTGGATGTCACTGCAATATTGAAATTGCCGTTGTGTGGCAGCACCTTAGCAAAATTTGAGCACTAAGGGACTGAGGCCGGGTTAAATGCATGTACTGGCATACCTTACGCCACAACTTAGTTGGTTTGAGTACGCTTAGTGGGTAGAACCTAAATTTTGGTGTCATTTTGTTTTCGCTCTGGCTTGACTGAATTATTTCTGAATGGCATGGAAGATCCATCTGGTACGTGTGCGAAGTGAGATGCTCCAGCAGGCCCTGATGTCAGTGAAGAAACAATAGATATACGTGGTATGCAAAATGTAGGTTTGTTTGGCTACTGGCACCACTATACAAACATTTATATATGCATGTACGTATATGTACAATATATTGAATATGTTGTTATTCTTCGTTTTTGTTTTTTTTTTTCCGCAAGACGTGACATGAGTTTTCGATAATGTCCACAAACTGAGTGAATGGCCTAGACCGCATATCTATAGTATATTTGTCTGTCGTATGTATATGTGTGTATATATATAGAGAGAGAGAGAGAGAGCCATCAAATACATGCATATGTCGTTTGACGAGGTGTTCAAGTTGTGTTCACATGGTGTGAGTGACAATCTGCTATCCATGTCCCATTGCAAAAGGGGCTCCCCAGTTGAACGAGCTCATTGCTTGGGATGTGAGATGCCTGGGGTCTAGGGTGCTGGGATTACTTCAGGCAATGCGTCTTGTCCTTGCCTGGGTTGAAGCCATATTTTTGAGCCATATGTTTGAGGAAACCGCGCAAAACATGTGATCTCTTCGATTCCTTGAGGTCAACCTCGACGTGATGTGGTCCTTCTTTTGGACGGGGATGTGGCAGGCTCGCGCGCGCGTTTCTGGGGGGAGACCTGCAGCCCAGAAGAGTCATGTGAGCCGTTCTGAGGCCATTCTTCAGCCCACTTGGGCCGGTTGTCGATGGACTTTTCGTTGAGAGGAGCTCTTGCCGTGGTGTGATTGCACAGGCCCCCTTTTTGGACCAGATTGATGAATCTGGGAATGTGGGTAGCGTTTCCCAGCGAGTCAGCAAGTTAGGGTTTTTGGGGTTTTTGGAGAGCAGCAGCACTTGACCATCAGGTTGAGCCAAGTACTGCAGGTTGCTTTGCGCATTCACTCCTTTGAAGTGAAGTGGTTTGGATGCGCTGCTCGTAAGACATTTGGCCGGGCTTCAAATGGTGGCCTTTCTAAAATGCTTGATCAACCTGACAAGCACAAGGCGTGTGGTTCATTGGTCCTCCATCAAAGGGTCGCGAAAGAGCAGAAAATAGCAAGGATCGGCAAACATGCTGCCACCATGAGCTCGTCGAACATGGTGTGCCCCCTTTTGAAATGAAACATGGGGCTGTCGACTGGAAAACGGTGATTTCTGGCACCTTCAGGTTAACAAAAAGTCCCGAAGGCTTTAGTTCACGGGGGATGGTTATGGGCGAAAATTCCAAAGCTGCAAGTCCGACGAATGACAAGCTGGCCACTGAGGCTAGTACTTGGGTGCCAGCCTTTTCTTCCAGTGCTACGGGCTGGAACAAGAGTGCCGTGTCAAGATGTTTCCTTGGAAGTGACTCACCTGGCCCATGTCACTCGACGGGCTGAGCCACACGAGCGCACCGGCACAAGCGCCACTGCCCCGCGGCTCCCGCAGGTGGTGTGGGGGGTGCTGCTGTATCCGCTGGACTGGGTACCTTGGCCCACTCCCACGGGGCACAACGAGGCCACACCCAGCCATACGACCCAGGACGGCTTTTGAGGTACGCGTGCGCGCCTTACGCTGTATGTCTTAATCAGGGACCCCTCAAATCGTTGGTTCTGCGGTTTCCTTAACAACCCCCGGAAGGAAGCAAGCGATAGTTGACAATCGAATGATATACGTAGTAAGAACTATCTTTCTTCATGGCACCCTTTCCAGTGACCCGCAAACACCAGGATCATGGCGGGCGGTTCTGCCATATTACGAGCAAACACCCTGAACGTGCAAGGTCGGATGAATGTTTTTGCTACAAGGCGTCCGGGATCGCAATCGACTTGTCAGTTATGCTCACAACAAGGCATGTCTCATTTTGATGTGCCCGCCGCGTAGCGGCCATTCAGAACCAGCACACCACACCCACACACACCAAGCAGAGCTGATGCAAAGTATGTTTTACTCATCCAAAGTAAAGCACTTTGACACCAAGACACCACACCAGTCCGCCTAAACCAGTCCAAGCGTCGCGCATTTCCGCAGGACCTCAAGGACTCGTGGACATGCTGCTTGGCCAAGACATTGGGCATGGAGTTCAACTGTTTACCCTTTGAACAAAGCGGAAAGAATATGGGGGTTTCTTTTAAGGGGGGAATCCCCCCAAAATGGTGGTTTTCCCTTTTGTTTTACTTTAACACCCACAAAAAAGGAGTACCTAAAAAACAAAAAAGACAGCCATATGAGTTCGCTAAAAAGTGTCAGAAGCCCATTCGAGCGGGCATTGAGGATTGCTCGATCTCGGGTTTGTGAGGGACACGTCAAAACTTGAGTAAAATCAATCATGTCCCAGCCGCAATAGTTTGGTCATGGGTTCCCGCCCTGGAGTTTGAGCCAGCCCCGAGTCTTGGCTGGGACACCGGAACAGCTCCCAATCAATCCAGCACGACCAGTCCAGCAAGGTGAGTCTACGAATTTGGGGCATCCACAATCCAACAACTCAGTTGCCCAAAGCCAACCTTTTGAGCTTTGGGTTTCACTGATTTGGTCCATTTTTAGCGAAGGTCCCACAAAGTGATCACCTTCTATGTCCAGGTCCCTCAGGGACAAGCGAGACCAAGACACAGGGAAGCCGCTCGCCTGAAGGCTTCATGGGCACGAACCCCAAACCCAGCATCACCACCTGCGACTCGGAGCCGGCCTATCTTTGGTTCGCCGCGCGCCATGGCGGGGTGGCGAAAACGGGGTTGCGCCCGCGTTGAGCTTCCTCCTTTTTGGTGAGGTGTCAAGACCACACACAGACACAGAGACAGGCAGACGCAGACACGGACAGAGACACACACCCACACACCCACGCACACACATGGCCGTGGCTCAAAAGATGGTACCCAAAATGGCACCTGGGTATATGGGAACAAAGACTGAAATCTGTGCAACCGCGGCTTAATGTTGAGCCACACCCCCATGGAAACTTGTGTGCCATTCCTTCTCTTCGTTTGTTGGCTGGACTTTACTCGCGAAACCAAAGGAACCGAGCTGGTGACTATTTTTGGGAGGTCCACAATCTTGCAGCCAATTCCGGATAGGTCCACAACAGTCCGGACAACACAACCGGTGAGCGCACCAGGTTAACAGGAGCTTCTGTAGGTCGTTTGGCTGAAAATGACTCAGTTGCCCAAAGCGAATCGACCGGATCTGACCTTTTTGGTTTCCCACTTGTGTTTCAACGTAAGTCAAGTTTAAAAAGAGGTTCCCCTTGAATTTCCAGGTTGTTTAGGGGAGTGAGATGATTTGTAGAGTTGCAGATCGAATGCTGAGACCACCCCTGTCTTCCCTCACAGGCTTTGCCTTTTTACACCCCGTGTGGCGAACTCGTGTTCGCACGAAGAAGGTGGTGCCAGCCTCATTGGTGGCCTTGTTGAGTCTGGTGGAGCACTTGTGGATTCCACTGGAGCATTTGTGGATTCCCCTTGGGGATCCATTTCGGCAGCCCCCTCCCTCTGATCCCTTTGAGCTTTGGTTTTTTTACAGGCGACAGAGCCAGAAGTGGACAGCGCAACAGGGTGTGGACTGCTTGACCCCTCTGCTGGATAAAGCTTGGGGCTTCTTCGTTTTGGAGTTATGTAAAGGGAAAGCACGAAGAGCTGACATTGGGGCATTGTTTGCTTCTTGTTTCTTTGACTATTTGCAGAGTCACTCTTGAGGTGATGTTTCCTGGCTGGTAATACAAAACATGCTTGGGCAAAGAGAGTGGCTGGTGCACGTTCACGCCAACAAGCCACCCCAGACAGTTTGGACTCACGTTCTTCCAAACATGTACTTTCCAGCTGCAGCTCCATACACAAGCTTTGAGTCGCGCTGGCCCTGCATCTATTCATGGAATTGTTTATGACATGTCTGCGTCGTCGCCCGGTATGTGGCGATGTTGGATTAAAAGTAGGGGGCTGTATTGGGGGATGAGCTCAAGAGGAATCAGCATGAAGCAAACGATGTAATACCTACATACATGCATGCATACATACATACATGCATGCATACATGCATGCATACATACATGCATACATGCATGCATACATACATGCATACATACATGCATGTATGCATACATACATACATACATGCATACATACATGCATGCATGCATGCATACATACACACATACATACATGTATACATACATGCATGCATACATACATGCATGCATGCATACATACATGCATGCATACATACATACATACATGCATGCATACATACATACATGCATGCATACATACATACATACATGCATGCATACATACATACATACATACATACATACATACATACACACAGACATGCATACATACATACATACATACATGCATACATACATACATGCATACATACATACATACACACACACACACAGACATACCTACATACATACATGCATACATACATGCATGCATGCATACATACATACACACAGACATGCATACATACATGCATGCATACATACATACACACAGACATGCATACATACATACATGCATGCATACATACATACACACACACACACATACATACATACATGCATACACACATACATACATACATGCATACATACATGCATGCATTCATACATACATGCATGCATACATACATACATACATGCATGCATGCATGCATACATATTTACATGCCTAACTATATATATATATATATGTATGTCTGTGTATACATATACAGAGGGTCGCCCGTGTGGATATGGTTTGCTTTGCGAGCCTTGCAGGGGTTTCCGAATTTCCCCTTTGCTTGTCTGGAAGGGAATTAAGGCCGGTGTTTGACATACAGCCAAGTAGGAATGCGTCGAAGCTAGCTGCCCTTCCACCTTGACCCAATTCAAACAAAAGCGCTTTCGTGGATCCAAAAGTCTGAAAACCAAAGCCGGCGCAGTTCACGAAGACCGGCTTAGGTACCTGCTCTTGAATGTCTTCTTCAATCTCTTGTTTCTTTGGCTGATCAAGCGCCTGTCCGGCACCTGGGCTGCCATCGGCTCCATTCTCTGTGGGAACCTCGGGGGCTTCTTCAGCCAATACGAGCTCTTCGTAGGGAAGAGCGCGGCGGCTGCTCGGTCGAACGTAATTTCTGATACGAAGCACCCCATGAGCTCCCGATTTGTTTGGGGGGAACCCTCTCAGGTTGAAGCGAAGACTGGGGAAGGGGTTCATTCTGCTGCATCGAGAGTTCGGATGAGTGTCAAGGAGACTTGTCCATAAGCCTTTCATGAGATTCTTAACACACAAGCTCATTATATGAGGCAAGTCCTGTTATTCCTCTTTGGGAGCATGGCCAGCCATCTAGCAAACCGCGAGCTGTTCAGCAACTAGCCAGCCACATGGCTTCGATTTTGAGTTTGGATTGAAGAGGCAAGAAGCAACTTCTTGCAATGGTTGGGAGCATCTCGCCGTTGCCAGAAGACCTGGCCTTGCATTTGCGAGATTGGAGCTCTCTTTCTTCAGGTAGTTTTTGGCATTGCCACCAAGTACAACTCGTTTTCTATAAGCAAACTTGAGCTTCCTGTGACAAATTGTGCTTCTCCTTGGACGAGAAGCATTTAGGTTAGCCTCCCATAGGCTCAAACGAGGTTCTGGTTTTGACAGGAGGCGCGCAGCAGTGCCCAAGAGCCTTTAAACTTAGACGTGCTCCTAGTGTGGCGTCGCGCAGCCACACCGCGCCTGATTTCGAAACACTGTTGGATTCCGTATACACTGAAAGGGCACAGTTTGAGTGGGCGAGTATAGTGAGCATAATTGGTTGGAAGCGCATAGCTGACAAACGACACATGCAAAAGAAGCGAGTTACTGTACATGAGATGGTATGGAATGTCCAGTACACCATATTATTCGTCTAGTGTCTATGTTTTGGTCCAACGACATTGCCCTTCCAGTCGTGCTCCCACTCAAGAAAGGGGGTGGCGGATATGAGCTTTCTGGATCAGGCCTGTCCAGTTGTTCATTGACACTGCTTTGCCTTTGCCTTGCTTGCCCTGGTTCTCTAATGTCTTTCTTACAGGCACGGCCGACGTGCAGAACTTGGAGTAACAGCAGGCGCACATGTGACCAGGGCCGTTGCAGAAGTTGAAGCGCCTTACTTTGTGCAGCACATGCTGCAGGATTGCCTGCACTTGGATGTTGATGTTCTCTCGCCAAAAACTCCCTACGGATTAACATGGAACCTGAAGAAGGGCTCCCCAAAAAAAATCAGGCTGCTCTAAAAATGATGGCGCTGATGTTTCATTTGGCGTGCTCAAAAGGGGTCCCCAGCCCACCAGACCCACCCTTTCGCGTACCATACTCCTTCCCAGGTGCCTGGCCAGGAAGGTTTCATGTTTGTTGGTACCCTTGTCGGGGTGGTTTCACAGAGTTCCGGGTTCATGGCTTTCGGTTAGGCGACAAACCGAGATTCAGACGGAATGACACCAATGTTCAAATCCAAGAACTCCCCTTCACAGGTGCTCCAAAACCCACGCGGTGTTTTCTTTTCCTTTGATTTGCTGGTTCTCAGGGAATGACTCGTAGGGGGTCCAAGCCGCAGGAGACACCGCGAGCACAGAGTTTCGAACATCTCGGCGGCTAAGGCTCTGACCCTGGAGCAGTGGATGGCGCTGGTCTTATCCTCGCATCTTGGCCGGAACCGGCAACCGGCAACCGGGCCAAACCCAAAGGATTGGTGCAGATGTGAGGGGAAGGCACCGGTCAAAGACCTTGCCATCTCTGGCTGGGTGAATTCCCAAGGTCCCCCAGTAGTCCCCTTTTACCTTTTTTGGGGGAGGGGACTACAGAAAAAAGGGTACCCTTATTCTAACTCTCTACTGGAGGACCTGGTTCCTTTCCCCTCATGGATGAAAGTTGGAGGCCTGGCGGCATGACCATTTTTTGTTGGGCAAATGTGATAGGGATTGCTTCGAGTGGCGAGCCTTGGCAAGCTTCTGCTCCCCTGAGTGGCACAGGGATCTGTAAAAAGGGATGCCCGGCTTGGTGTAGAAATATGGTTGCGGAAGGAAGCGCCTCAAGTGCGGAAGGCTGGCGTCTGGACTGCCAGGGGCTTCAAACAAAATAAATAATGACATAATATATAATTTGCTCGAAACATCATTGTTGCTCCTGCGAACAGGCACACGTGGCCCGCGAATAGGCAAATTGCTGGCACCTTGATTTTGAACCAACATGGACTTCGGTTTGTGAATCCGGCTGGACAACGTGTTTGTTTGTCGATTGAAATGGCGATGTACTTGCCCTGGTATGTGACAATCTGCTTCCGTCAGCGCTTGCCCCGGAAAGTAATGATGGCCGTGTGAAGCCAAAGAAATAAAAGGGACACAACGCGTAGAACATCACCGCCTGATTGGTTTTTCAACCAGCAGGGCATGAGCTACTCACAATGCAGTCCCTTTTTTTTGGGCAGAGTTCCCGCGCAGTTGGCGGAGGATTTCGGACAGAGGTGTGATTCCTGCTTTGGCGGTTTCATCCTTTGCAGGGAGTATGTTGTATACAAATGATCAGAGTTGTTTGTTGCGATGTATTCACTTAGTATTCGGGGGTAACTCCTTTTACGTGGGGGAGGCAGCGCGTAGGCAATTCTTTCTGGTGGGGGGCGTAGGCAGTTTGCGTAGGTCGTTCAAGAAATCCTGCGTGGGCGGATTCTCGTAGGCGTGTTTTAGCTTGCGCACGCTTGTTGTTATGACTTGGGTATGGGTCAAAATTAAACCACCAGGAATTGGACCGCGGGTTTTAGTCCATGGTTCCATTTCCCGGGGTTCTTATTTTTAGTTCCATGTTTTCCTATTATATAGTCCATTTCCATGTTTCCATTTACCAGGTTTTAGTCCATGTTTCTGGGTACCTATTTTTGACCACTGCCACTTGACAGCGCCCGAGAAAAGTCTGCGGCACTCCCTCGGTTTTCACACCCGAGGCGCCGCGTAGGCATGGCTGCCAGTGTATAGGGCCAAGACACCCCAAAACTCCCTGCTCAAACAGGGCTCCTTAAAAGATACATTTTGCCCATTTGAAACATGGCTTTTTCAATCAAAATCAAGGAAACCCACCATTTACAAGGCAATGTTCAGGTGTATAATGTAAGGATCCCTGTCAAATGGTCCAATACATTTAGTATTCCGGGGGGTGAGTGGAGAAACGTGAAAGAACGTCAAGCACTCAGACATGCTTGAGATTGTACTGGCCTGGAAACGGGTACACGCAAATGTTGGTGCACACCATGAACGGCTTACCACAGATGCACAAACCTGGCATGCTCCAAGCAAATGCTTCTGGCTGTTCTGAGAGCGTCCAACCATAGAGGACTTTCAACTTTCCCTTTGGATAGTGAATCAAGAGGGGCCCACTTCTTCTTGAGTCTCTGTTTCACCGCGTGGAGCCTGAAATCAGAGAACTTGGTGCGGCCGTTGTTGTGGCGAATGCAACGTTAGACAGCAAGGAGACTGAGCTACACAGGCAAACAAACAGGAGGGGACCGCACGGGATGGGACTGAGCGAGACAGGACAGCCAGCACAAAAGGAACAGTTTGCCAAGAACAAAGGCGTGTACTGCACAGGGTTGGAGCATCAGAGCGAAGAATCGAGGATTGCAATGTGGGTCTACAACATCGAGGATGAGACAGACATCAATGGTGCGGCACTTGGTGCGCTTGATTCGAATCTGCTAGTCGCATGTGTGTCCAAATATTGGATCCCCCCGACATGGGTGGCTTCTTTTCTTCCGTTTGCTGAAGAATATGTTGAATATTCCCCTCTTGGTTTTAAGGGGAATCTACCACAACTGGATGTTTTTTTTTTTTTTTTTTTTTTATCTGTTCCAGGCTTAAGCAAATGGAAGAAGCCTTAGCTTCCCTGTATAGCAAAACCAAAAGGGCACCTCGAAAAATCCACCTGAGGCGAACTTCAGGAGAGATACGATCGGTGTTTCATTAAAGCCAGTCCTGGATTTCATCCCGGTAGTCCTCAAGCATGTTCCGCAAAGACTGTACTCTCAAAGCTCCGTATCTTGAGGTGAATTCCAATCAGACCCATAGGGTGGTAATGATCTTCTTGCGTGTTCTCTGTGTATTTCTCACCAATCTCCGCTTGATGACATTTCACCCATCTCTCGTTCCATACGACTGACTGTTCGGTACCATGACCCTTCTGTGCCAGGCCCACTCCAACTACAAATCCCTGCCCCCGCATTAACAAATGCACCTGTTATAAGAGATTCTCCCAATACTACGAAGTTAGAGTTTGCCAATATACCAGTCGTATTAAGGACACTTTGGAACCAATTGCTAAACCGACGGTACTAAACGCAGCACACATAAGACAAACATGACATAGAATCCTGATGTTACAATCCCTTGCTCGGAAATTACCGTGTTGAACAGTTTTTGGGCCCGGGGTAGTGAGTAGTGCTGGGAAGCGCTACCCCTTAACATGCATGGCATTTTATGTTTGCGTGCCAAATCCAAGATGAAACCCAAAGTGGATGGACAGGTTATTTTCCCCCACTAGTTAGAACCCAGTTTCTCGTTTAACACCCTCCTTCCGCCTGAGCAGGGGGGCAAGACAGGCATTTCCGTGTACGGCAAGAATGAACGAGGGGACCACCGCTACGACTCCCATGGGCCTTTGGGTTTGCAACCCGACCCGGACGAGTATGCGTCGGAGAACGAGCCCACGGCACAGGCTGGTACGTGAGTTAGGCTGTTGAGGCATGCAAATAGCATGTCGTCTGCCTATTTTACAGCGAGCTCACCGATTCGGGGGTATAACCAGCTCACCATGATAAAGGGTGCAAATGTCTTGTTTCAGGGACCGCAGATCATTACATTCAAACCACGGCACATGTCTGCCTCAGAGTTTGTAGGTGCGATGTTTGCCATTGTAGACAATGATAGCTGCCGCGGCACGCAACCCTCCAAACGATTTGAGCAGGGATTGCAGGAGACTGGCTTTGGTCATCTTGCAGTGCAGTGCACTTTCGGCTGTCACTGTTCGGTGAAATGTCAATGGACCCCTTTGTCAAATGTTCCTGGGTTTCTTGCTGGACTGACTGCCATCAACTGCCAGTCCATCGCATTCTACGTTCAAATTCAGTGTGGAGACTGGCCAGCAAGCATGGCAAGAATGTTATACCGTGTTTGCGGAACGAGGACAACAGATTTGTGTTGGCATTCAAGATGCTGCCTCGCGTGCCCATTCAGAATTGGCATGATAGGAGGAGCTTCATTAAGATTTCTTGAACAAGTGGAGCGAATAGCAGTTGAGACTCATGCTCATTCCATGCACCTAGCCTGTGCTGGTATGTGGAAAAAAAACAAAAACGTATCTCACTGGTCAGGTTGCCCACTACGCTCAACTTTGCTTGGGCCAAGTTGGCTGCTGCAACTTGCGCAGGACCACACCGTCTTGTGAGGGTGCACTGCCCAGCTGCCCAGTTCACTCCGCCCTGCAAGCAGGCTGGTGCCAACGAGGCAAGCCAAGCAAGCGCTGAAATCACATTGATTCGCAGCAAGAATCGGCTCCAGTGTGAAACACATGTTGGAACTTGGTTGTGATCATCTGAATCCTGGCCAATGTACCAAACCTGCGCGAATCGCAGTTGAAATGGGGGGGGGGAAGGCGGGGTGTTTTGGCCGTTTTAAACGCCAACCTGTTTCATATGTTTTACGGACACTGCTCATGCCGACATTGCGGTTCAGCCTTCAGCAACGAACTGGTGAAGAGAAGCTGCAACCAGACTTCGCTTTGGTTTGGTTGCCAAGCCTTCATGATCGTCCCCATTGACCATTGTTTGGCAGCAGCAAGAATTAGACTTGAACACTAACTAGCCTGGGGCCCATGACTCATGGCTGAGTGTAACAAAACCGGAGGGATGTCCTGAGGAGTTTTACACGACGTATTTGTAGATAGGGTGACAATGCCGAGGAATCCAAGATGCGACTGGCACTCTTGATCAAGAGAGCCGCTATTTCTGGGCCAATCATGGCAACCTCACAAAGGGGGGGGTTGCCACCTCATCCATGAAGGTTTCTCTTTCAGGGCTTGCTTCTTCCAGGTTGATGACATATATCATGAGCTTTTGCAGATGCACCGAGTGAACTGAGCCTCGGGCCCAGATTGCGCGTGACCCCCGCCTGGGTCAGAGGCACTGGCGTGCTCCTGGCGAGAACGATACCTGCATGCGTCAAACAGTCCCAGCTGGGCCAGTGACTTGTTTTCCATACCATTGTTTGCCTGGCTGAGACTTGACAATGCACTCGTCTTGGCAGATTTGTTTGGCATATATTAGCATGATCATGGATGCGAGCAAGAAAGCGGAGGGGGGCTTGTTTGGTTGCTCCCGGCATGGAAGTGGCCATGCTTCAAGACATCGCTTGCCCTTTTTGGGAGTTTACCCCACGAACACTAAGCACGCCAAGCACACCAGTAAGGTTTCGTATGGGTTGAAGGAAATCATTGACAGTGAGCTATGCTGGCTCTTTTGGCAAGATGTGTGCAATTGGCGAACCTTTCAGCAGATATATAGCGCTTTCGAGTGTTTCTCACTAGTCCTACGATGTCCTACGAGCTTTCCCCTTGCTGCTGGAGGTTTCCCAGCGGGGACGCTGGGTTCACCCATTTTCAGACAAACCCACACACACACACACCACACACGCACACACACACACACAAACGCTCCGCCTCAATTGGTGATTGGAGCTGGTAGTTTGAGAATCGAATCCCCCGGTACCTCCCGTCAATTGAGAGGTTGATTGATAGATCCGGCATCTACGTTGGAGAGAGCCCTCAACGGGGGACGCCGCAGCGGGTTTGAATTTCAGGCAGTTTCAGGCAAAACAAAGCAGCCCTATAAACCGGATGTGCTGAGATGTGTGCGCCAACCAAAAAGCAAGATTGCCCGGGAAAGCACCCCGATTGCACAATCCCCTTGTAACTTACGACAATCCATTTACCCGATTTGTTGACGAACCGCGGTGAATCGTCGTTGTGCTGTTGTACTGCGTGGTTTTTGGATCAGGATGGGACGTAGCCGCTGTCAGGTTAAAGGACAACGTATCAAATGGTGATTCGGAGGTTTTCGGAATCCTTCCCTAGACGGGCTTGGGGTTTCATGCGATTGGCAAAACCCTGCCAAGGTGACCTTGTTTGTGTACTTGGCGAGCCGGTTGCTGGTGTTTTGGCTTTTGGCCCGTGGGTTTGTCTCTAGAACCCCCGAAATGGCAACGGTTTCCATGGTGGTTTCCCTTAACCCCACCAAGGGTACCCTACGGCCCGAGGTGGCAACGTCGTGTGTGCCTTGAGTGCGAGATCTTCCACGCCCAGGGAGGCATGCGATGGATCCAAACTCTGGAGCTCAACAAGGCAGGGTTAGCTTGGGGAGTCTGATCGCTGAGGTTCCGAACAAACATCGACCAAGTTTGGTTGATCCCGACCGCGGGGAGAACCCTCAGAATTGGTTCTCGACAAGGGAAGGGAGCCAGGTGACAGTGATCAAGCAATGAAGAGACATGTTGGGTACTCTGAAAGGGTTTCGGTCATTCCTGGAATGTTGCAAGTAGGCAATCATGAATGGCAGTATGGGTGATGAGGAGAACAAATCCCGCTATTTTATGCTAAAGAGTTTGAGTAGCTGGCTTTGCTTCGATCTACAACGTGCTTGAAGCCAACGGACTGTGCTCGAGTCGGTGGTTCAGGGCCCGCATGCGGTGTTGGACTAAACCAACTGTGACTGGCAGAAGTGCCTGATGGGCAGGCTCTATTCAGAAGTCAACGCGAGGAAACGCACAGAAACAAGTGGCCATGGGTCAAAATTTCGAACCGCCAGTGAACATCCCAATCCCCACTATGCACCTACCCAAAATGGGATCCCATTGGTTTTGACCCATAGCCACATAGAGACAAGTAGAACTCAGTGAAGCCTCTCTGAAACTGGTGCTAGGTGTTTGCAGCAAGATTCGGCTTTGATTTCCTGTTTACGAACACGTTTGCTTGGGCTTTAACTTCTGTTGATCAAAGGCTCAAAGCCAAACCGCCCAAACCAAAAGCTGACATCCCCAGGTCAAGCGCCTGCCTAACAAACAGATTGAGACGGTAAGTTTGCCTTAGGTTTTGAAGGTTTGCCTGAGTAGACCAACACCCTTGTCTTCTTTCTCCGTGCAGATCCGAAGCCTTCTGCGCGTTTGTTTGGTTGGTTGTTTCTTTGCCTGTTTGCTTACTTTCTTGCTGGTTTGTGTGCCTGTAGGTTTGCGAGTCAGTCCGTTTGCTTTCCATGTTTCCGTTTGTGTTTGTGGCTGTGCTTGTGTTTGCTGCTTGTGCGCTTGAGTGTGCTTGAGTTTGCGTGTTTGTTTGTGAACATGCTGGAAGTGTCATCTTTCGACTTGCTCGCTGCTGGCGCGGGGGCTGTTCCGGAGCTGCTGGCGGAGGTGGCCCTGGTGTTGGTTGTTGATGCTGGCGATCGGGTGTGCACAGGCCTGCGCCTTCATTAACCCTTTGGAATCTTCAGCTGAGTTGCTTACAAAGCTGCAGCATGCTGCAGCCGTGCGAAGTCGCAGATGTTTATGGAGTGCGTTTCCCAAGCGTTTTGACTCTTATATTTCCTGCGGCTTTGGCTCAAGTAGCCGACGTTTGGCCGCCATGTACGTGGCTTTGCCGGGTAGGACTCATGTGCTGAGCATCAAACAGTCAAGCAGTTGTGCAACTCATTCAAGTCCATGCCCCGCTGCTATGCCCTTACCCAAGAACAGGTCCGCAAAAAAAAGCAAAGTTCGCGCCAAACAGGACAATAATAATATCATTCCTTGGTTGGATGCAGCATAGTTGGCTTATGGGCCAGAACTAGGCAGCTGTGACCCTCTGCTCATAATATATATATATATATATGCATTTCCTTTGTGGTTGCATTTTGCGGTTTGGTGGAAGAAGGATCCTTTTGTTGGAGAGGGTGGGGGACTTGCGAGGAGCCCTTCGGCTGTCAGCCACACTGGCACCGTCTGCAAATGCCAGACGATCCGGTCGCCACGGTGACTTGGCTGTATGGCTGGGGGTGCCTGAGCCTCCCCTTTGTTGGATCTCGTAAAACTTGATTGTTCAATGGAAACAAACAAATTTCCACATGGCAGACCTAGCCGCTTGACCTCTTTATGGGTCTGCCTTTTTGCATGTTAGCCCTTCCTTCCGACAGAACGGCGTTTTTTTGAGGCAGGCAATGGCAGGCATTTCATTGGACCGCGAGACGGAGCAAACGTACATTTGGCATGCAATAGCCGCAAATGGGTGATGGAAGAGATTGGATGAGGTAGCCTGACTGTTTGCCGCCTGATGGTCAGGGTTCTTGGTGGCGCTGCTGTGCAAAATGCAGGGTTAAGGCACTCGTTGCTTTGCCAGTGACTTTCAAGCTGTCCTGGGCGGAGGTATCAAGGCATACTAAATTTGAGCTCTTGCTTTCCTCAAGAGTTTGTTCAATTGTTCACAACTTAATTATGTCTTACTTATGGAAGGAATAGCTTGCGCTATCTTGCGCTGAAATCTAGCAGTTGCCAATTGCAAACACCGTACCAACAACCATCGCTCAAGGGCAACAATTTGTGTTTGTGTGCCATGGTCAGGGACTCCAGACAACGATGGTAAGGATTCCTATAAAGAAGCCATGACCCAGGGCCACAAGGAGTGTTGACCATGGCACATGTGAACGCCTAAAGGCGCGGATGCCCGTCCCGTGCCATCAGGCGCCAAATTGGGGGCAAAGAGGGTTCAACAACCAGCTGTCATGCATGGCTTCGCTTCCAAGGAAAAGCCCACTAAAACATAGGGTCCCCTAACACAACAGCAAATAGGTTGATCTCGTTTTGGTTGTTACAAAACATTGTTTCATTGTTTTACAAAGCAAATAGGGTCCCTACAATGGCTGGCGTCGTTTTGGTTTTCCTCCCCGCTGAGGCTCACCAGGACGCCAACCAGCTCAGCTGAGCCTTGGACGAATCCAGTGCCGAGCCGGTGGTGGTTGGTTGGTCTCCCCAAGTTCCTGGACTTATGTTTTTTGGCGGCTCCCAGCCATCCGGTCCCTTAGCTTTTTAGCTTTTTAGCGTTTAGAGGGGGTTTCCATTTGACCCACTAAAAGTTAAACTTTTAGCGGGGGATCTGAGGACAGCCCAAGTTTGGAAGGACTTTTTTGCAGTTGAACAGAAAGTTGGGACTTTTGGGCTCCAGGAAGTGATGGGGAGAACATGGGGGACAATCCAACTTTCCCACAAGAAGAGGGGCCAAATTTGCACATGTACATGTCCTGAGAACGAAGACAATTGTAGGCTCAATTGAATTGAGCTCTTTTGTCGATTGAAAAAGCTGCAATGCCATCACCAAGGACAAACATGGGGCACCCACTCAGAAGTTGTTTACCATCCAAAACGACAGAACCTCACCATGCGCAGGTTTGAACCCGAAGCTGAGTCGGGGTCAGCTCGGTCGACAGGCCGTTGTGGCAGTCACTCTCCTGGCGCGGAAATGCCAGCGGAGCGTGCAAT